ACTCATGTGTGCTGAGAATGCCTTAATGCTCTGTGAATCACAGATAACACAGAGCTCTACACCTTATTTGGTGTAAAAGAAGGGAAATTGCTTGAGCAGAACATAAAAAAAAAAAGTTAGCAAGAACCTGGCTTGTTGTAAGTACAGACATTTATCAGTTATTAGTCATTAGTCGAAACTGATAATGATGGGCAGTGAAGCATAGTGCTTCTCATCTTTGCTTTCAATGACGATAAAGTGCTGCCGGCTGCCAAACAGTGCCTCAAAATGGAGAAAGGTACTTAAACTTGCTTCAGATGAGCAACTGGGTGCATGCCAATTTTTTACATGAACAGTCATAAGCATGTTCCTGCACAGCAGGATGTGATCAAACTATTCAAAGCTGTAAAACCAGGTTTGCTTGCCAGTTATGTTATTGCTTCAAGATCAGTGCATTACAGACGATACTTTGCCAACCACTGTTTTTCCTTAACAATAAATTCTACACCTTTAATATTTAAAACTCTGTATAGAACTGACTGTTCCCAATTAAAAAAGAAACATTTACAGAATGAAAGTTAGGACTGAAAAGATATTGAACACACGATCTCCTGAACTATAAGCCATCTCTTATTTAGCTTAAAAAAACCACTTCCTTCAAGCTGTACCAATTAAAAGGTCCCCTTTCTTCTCTAAACCAGAAATAATTGTAATGACTTACTCAAGTCCTCAGCTTCAGCTGCCAACCCTGTAATCATATTAACATTCCTGTCCATAAGGTGTGATGTGGTTAATAGGTGGTTGCTAGTTTGAGACATTGCACTGTATTGCCTCCTGCTGGAAACCACTTCTTTAAAGAATTTTATGAAGATCACACAATGTGAGTATGCCATATGTAATATTTATTAAATGTCTGTCACTAATTGGATTATCAAGCAAGAAAGATTTTTGAAGAAAGGCAGAACTGTAGTACAACCAACTGGACAAATAAGTTTTTTCCTTGAACGGGTTAAGACAAAACCAAACATTACAGACAAGAAACTGATGTTTTATTCCTCATGATAGTCAGCATCCTTCTCCACTTTCCTTTCAGAGTGTGCTGGTTTTGGCTGGTTAATTTTCTTCACAGTAGCTAGTATGGGGCTATGTTTTGGATTTGTGCTGGAAACAGTGTTGATAACACAGGGATGTTTTCATTACTGCTGAGCAGTGCCTACACAGAGTCAAGGCCTTTTCTGCCTCTCACACCACCCCACCACTGAGTAGGCTGGGGGTGCACAAGAAGCTGGGAGGGGACACAGCCGGGACAGCTGACCCCAACTGACCAAAGGGATATTCCACACCATATAACGTCATGCTCAGCATATAAAGCTGGGGGAAGAAGGAGGAAGGGGGGGACATTCGGAGTTATGACGTTTGTCTTCCCAAGTAGACGTTACGCGTGATGGAGCCCTGCTTTCCTGGAGATGGCTGACACCTGCCTCCTGCCGATAGAAAGTAGGGAATGAATTCCTTGTTTTGCTTTGCTTGTGTGCACGGCTTTTGCTTTACCTATTAAACTGTCTTTATCTCAACTCATGAGTTTTCGCACTTTACTCTTCCAATTCTCTCCCCCATCCCACCCAGGGGGAGTGAGTGAGTGGCCATGTGGTGCTTAGTTGCTGGCTGGGGTTAAACCACGACAAGAGGATCAGTCATAAAACAGACTCAAGCTCCTCAGTATAACACAGTATCTGTTCACTAACAAACATATCTTAGCAAATACAACCAAACAGTTGAGTTTGTTTTTTTAAGGGGGTTGGTACAAGAGAAGATGGATGTCAATGTTTAGCCACGCTTTAGTTGTTTGTTTTTTATTCACTTGAAAATACATACTAAAAGTAGTATCAAATATTTGAGTTTATACCATTTTATTTGTTTTCACACATACAAAAAGTAGTTTGCATATTTGCTCAGCAATCTAGTGAATGATCTAAGATTACATACACATGCACAGCTCAATACAGTGATAGAAGTGCCTCTATCTGCTTCCTAGTAAGAAGTAACAATCACGTTTGAAATCTCAAAAAAATATGCAGATGTTCTTGGTTGTTACAGCTCAAAAAAACATTTTCATGACCTTTCCGAGACATGGACAGTGCTCTTCATTTTTTGAAGAATAAAAAAATTATTCAAGTAAAACTCAAATAGAAGAATCACAACTAGCTAACAACTGCCAAGTATGCTGCAATAGCAGCCCAGTTAAATGCAACTTAATAGTATAACTACCAGAAATAGTATTGCAAAACTGCATTTCAAAGACTAGTTGAAAGTAATCTGTCTTTACTTGGTCATAGGAAACACACAGTTTATAGAATGTCCATTCTCTAGGAATGTAACCTATTCCTTACTTGAAATCAAAGCAATGTGTTAGAGCTGTGAAGGCTTTTGTGTTATTGTTTCTTACTGAGAAAAATAGAAATCCTACAAGTAAAACCCCAAAAGCTAGATACTACTTATATTCACTGTGCTCAATTGTCAAATGCCAGGCTATTGTGAAGAAAACCATAAAGAAGGATAACAGATGTAGCTTCATTAAACACAGTCAGTCCAAACCCTTATTACCATATAGGCAGTTCTCTGTCATACAAAACCGGTTATGGTGGTCACTCAAATGACATTGCTGCCTCCAGCCCCACACAACAGCAAGCAGGAACAGAGCAGCACGGTGTTCACACAACGTGTCATGAAGCATTTAGCTTCCATTGCCCAGTGACCTCTGAACTTTAAAAATGCCTTTTCCAGAGGATAGCCACAGCACGCTAATGGTTTACTCTACTTCTGCTTTGTCTCAGCCTGTTCTCATCAATCCCCCCCTCGTATTTGATGTCACCTCCACCAAAAAGAAAAAGATTTTAACTTGCAGATCTTATGAATGCCTGAGGTGACCTCAGCTCTAACTTCCAATAATTTGCATTTGTTATGCTAAGCATATACATCCCCTGAATTATATCTAGTCCCTTTGTGGTCTAACGTAGGAATCCCTCTCCTATTGTTCTTGCTGTTAGCACTGTAATAACTACCGCTATTGCAATGTTAACAAAAGACTACTAATAATTCAAGTACGGTACGAATTCCCAAGGAATCATCAAGTGAGAAATGCAAGTTGAAATGGTAGCTTCAATTCCAAGGACCTATTTTCTATATTCAAGAGTTACAGCCGTAAAAGCATCGCATATGTGAAAACACAACACATAATCAATAGAGTTCTAATAATAACAATTAATTTAAAACAATGGTATTATAAATTGCAAATGGTATCGCAGTAGTACAGCTTAATACCAAATATTTAAATTTCCATTTGGCGGGGATTTATTATTTTATTCATTTATTTTTTCAGCTGCACTATCTACTTAACATTACCTGTGCTTTTTGCTGACAGGCCTACAGATTGCTTTGCTAGTTGTGGCACTTGAGCCATTACTATATAAAATAATTATCTTTATCCAAGCTGATTACTTGGAAAAGATTACTCCTTAAATAGGCAGCTTAAAAATCAATTCAATTAAAACGTGTATTAAAATGCCCTACAACGACATTCTTCTGACATTCATAAAAGTTTTATGGTCCAAGTATGCCTGAAAGTCCACTTCAACAAAGAAGCAAAAATGGACAAAAAATAAAAACATCAAAAGATCCTTCTCTTTTGCTGAAAGCTTTTCTCTTATAAGCTGCTCACTTTTCAAATGCTCTGTGCAAAGAAGAACAAATGTAAACTTTTGGCAGGACTGTTGGATGTTTCCCAGTAGCTATGCTGCTCATCACTGTTATAAAAGCAAAAGAAAGTAGACTGAAAAAGTAAAGTTCCACCATTAACATCTTCCAACATTAACATCCTTTGCAGTGGATAGACACACAAAATATTTTAAGCACCAGGCAGATGGGGCTTTCGAGGTTAAAGTAGGAGAGAATGCAAGAACAATGATTGCAAAAAAAGTGAAAATTACAGGGTGTGTAGAAGGGACTCTTTTACCAGGAGACTTCTCAATACAACATAAATTCAATCAACATTATCAATGCCACTCAAGATCACAAACCTGACTTTAAATCTAATAGAAATTAGTTAGATGTGGGCTAACTTTGGTAACTCACATTAAAAATCAAAATTTTCAATATTGGAAGAGTCAGATGAAATTTTATTGCCTGGGATGAATACATAAGGAGTTTCATCCAGTCTAAAATCTTGTGTTTTCCCAGGAGATATATCCCCTACGTGGACCACTCCTCCCTACAGCCTGTTCCCATTGAGCTAAATCTAGGTTAAAATCCAGGAAAGAAAACTGTGGGGAAAAAAATAACAACAGAAAAACTCTTCCATGAGATAGGAGAAGCACGGAGACTCTCTTCATGGTGAAGAGAATGAAGACAATATTGTTCTGTGAAAATAGGAAATTGCAGGGAATGAGTGATCTGAGCAGGAAAAGGACCTCAGGTTCTTTCAAGTCATGTAGCAGAAGTGTAAGACTTTGACAGTCAAGGACCACATGCTGATTTTTATCTCCTGAATGTAAAGCAACAAAGGGAGGAATTGCTTGCATCGTTGCATGTGGTACCGTTATCTTCCTTTAATGTATATTTCTGCCACTTGTAACCCTTTACAAATCCTTGAGTCCCAGTTAACTGTCATCCAATGCATTATACCAATACAGCATACTGCAAAACTAAGCCCTTAATAGCTTTTTATATTGGTCAATACACTAAAAACTATTTTGTTTTAAAAAAGGAGACAGCTAGTGATCAGGTGCAAAAAATACAAAAATAATGAAACGCATTGATGCCATTTCAATGGGCACTACTACCATGAAAAAACAGTTGATCATTAATCAGCCATTTACTACAAGGGTTCTCTTTGAGATTTCCAACAGAGAAATGTAAACGAAATAGTTTTCTTCCCCAAAAGAAAAGAAAAAAAAAAAAAAAAGAAAGGAAAAAAGAAAAAAAGAAATTTGGTATTGAGTGATTATATACTTGTAGAGACTTACTTGAGACAAAGCAGCATCTCGTTGTTCTATTACTGCATTCATTTCATCAGACATTATTTTCTTTTTACGTTCTTTGGTCCTGTGTATTCGATTCAGAATTATAGCTCCATTCTTCAGTATATCTATCCCTGTGTCTGCATTGTTTATTCTGTTCAGTAATTCCTGTAATGTCTACCAACAGCATTATATGTTAGTCAGACATGAAGTTTTAATATATTTTATTTAATATAGGGTTTTAATTAATAGGCACATGTGAATTGTAAATTGACTGAGTGAAGTTATTGAATTTTCATATTGCAGCAAAGATGTACATTATTAGTGTGTCAATTCTTCTTTTTCCCACATCTTAGTTCTTGAAACCCACTCAATTGAACTTAAGCCTCTAAGATATAAGACTGACATGAAGAAATCTCCTCAGAGAATGGCTTACCATGTCATTTTCTTCAGGGTTAATATTTTCTAGCCTAGAAAAAAGGGACACAGAAAGCCTGATCAGTAGCATTTCCTTAGTGCAGCAAAATGAGTTCGCTTTTTAAATCTTTAGAACCTCAAGTAATTTCATTCTACTAGTCTTTAGAGTCAACCATGACACTGAACATATTAAAGTGCCACCTGCTCGACTCCATCTTTCAATAATGCTCCATATCTTCAGCACTGACTTCAGACTGTTAAGTTATTAATGTTTACTGCTATATATGACTACAAGGATCAATTGTTCATATGTGCTTAGATGAAGAAAGTTCCCCAGTGATAGAAATGACTGATGCTCTTATTTTATTTATTTCTGGGCTTACAACTTTTACCTGACGTTGTATTTTTGTTGTTTTTACTGCACCTCAAATGAAACAGGACAGGACTTTTGTGGATAATTTTTTTTTTCATTTCAAAGTAATTCTTTTTCCACCTCTCTCTTCCAAAATGAGGAAAAAAAACCTAGTTGAAGTTTCCTTAAAAATATTTGGATTTTATATCTTGCATAAAATACCAAGCTAAGCCAATTCTCTGCAAGGCCCTTATTTAATTCTGGAACAACCCCCTCTGCACTTTCCTCCCTTTCTATTTCAACAGAACACATATTGACCTGTCAAATACAAAGATGATACGAGGAATTTAGTCATACAGCATTGAACACTGGCTGTGCAAAAGCAGTGAGTGATAGCACATAAATCTAATAAATGGGATAGTATGCATTTTATTTTACCTAAGGTTAGTTATATGGACAGGATATTATTTAAAACACTTATGTGTATTTTAAAACGGAAGAGACCTCTTTTCTGGAAAAATGAGCATATTAAAGTTACCTTACCACTCCATTGCTACTTACTTAATGGCGACTTCTAAAAGTAGGTCTGTCACTAGCATATAATATTTTAAAAGACAGATATAGTACCATTAAACATCTACTAAACAGCAACACACACTTTTTCAACAGTTCTGTGACAGGTGCTGCTCTGAAGCCAAGATTTTAGCTAGCAAACATCATAGAGCACTTGACAGCACACTAGCACCTTTTACATTAAAGCATTAGTTTTACCAGATAACAGTACATAAGGCATAGTAAATCAACAGTACAGAAATTAGTTCTTTAAATAAAAAAGAAATAATTCAGAATGTACTACCAGTGTACAACAGCTGGTATATTTATACGGAATTCACAAGCAGTAATTACTCCAACATAGACAGTCAGCACCAGAACTAAACAAAACAAAGTAAAAGCTAACCTTTGCTGGGTTTGACTTGTATTCATAAGGTAACACAAATCATAAAATAACAAACATAGTAAGTCCAAATTCTCAGAACTGGCTCCTTGACTTGGCTCTTTGTATAGTTCCTGCATTAGGTTTTTACATTGCTCTAAGTGCCACTTCATGTGGGACTTAAAAATGGATCTCCAGCTAGTTTGTATTCACAATGAAAGGAACGGTATTTGTCAAAGTAAATTGGCAGGACTGACCCGGCTCCTCCAGAGGACTTCTACCCTGCTAAAAGTGTGGGTCAACAAAATCACCCAGCCAACCAACAGGCTGGGTAAGCAAGACACCTTAGGTAGAAGTGGGGGTGGGAAAAAGAACAGGAACTTCTACCATAAGTGTAGCCCTTCAGCATACTACTGCCACAAGGGATCTGTCTGTAGGTGTACATACACCTCCTTAGGTGACAGCATTTTTTAAAAAGCAGCATCCAGAGCTGTGTATTTGCCCTGCTGCCTCTCCCTGTGCTGTGCACAGGCAATAAGTGACCCTTAGATCTCTCATGATTTTAAACAGCAGTAACCAAGGATTCCTCTTCCCCCCCATTTCTACACACATTCTGCTAACGTAACCCCTAGGGCCAACAGGACTGAAAGAATTTTGGTTGCAACAGTTAAATAATGACAACAGAATTGCTCCGACTGCTAATTTAAAGAAAGCATTGAAGCATTTGATAAAGGTTGGCAGGCTGTTCAATATTGCCCTCTTGTAAAGATCTCTGATTGGAATAAGTCCAAAGCAGATGGAAGGAGTGACCTGTGCTCTAAAACTTGATGAGTGTGGCACAAGTAGCCAATGTTCTTTAAAAAAACCAAACCTCTATGTGTTCCATGTCTGAGACAGAGAACTTGACCTTTTGAACAACCAACATCAGGAAGAAAATATTAAGGGTGGTAGTTGGAAAAGTTCCAAGATTCCAGAAGAAACTCCAAAATTAAATAAAATAAACCAAGTCCCTCATGGCTCATCCCATCATCTCTGCTCCTTCCAAAGGATTAGTGGAGTGGTGAGGTGAACTCCAAAAAAATTTCCATTCAGCCACAGTAATAAACTACTTAGAATAAAGAGGGTGAGAAAAGTAATTTCCTCATGGGGTTGACTCTGCTTCTGAGAATGCAGCACCTCAATTTGACTCTTCTCAGTCACAGTTCTGGCTTGCTCCTCCCATTGCAAAGACATCCAGACATGTCCTCCCAGACATCCAGGCAGATATAGAAATGTGCGTCTTGTCACCTCAGCTGAGATGTTACCACAGTTAGTAAAGATGCCCAGTGTTCTGAAAAGCCTGAGTGCTGGAGCCAGGCTGGTGTTCCTGCAGGAATCTTGGCTCCACTCAACCATTTTTTGTTTGCAAGGTGTATGGCTGCATGAATAAGCATCCTGTAAGCTTAGAGTAAGTGGACCAGAAGAAAAGCAGCTGAGCCTGATGGAGGCAATCCTGCCTTCTTGGTTCTGTAATGCCCAAAGATTTCAAAAACAGCAAAGAACTTTCTTCAAAAAAAAGAACACAAAACCCCCCAAATCAGTAATCACAACAGGAAATGTTTCCCTTACCATACCATTGCTCTTTTTGGAAGAAATACCACATTATCTAGAAGGTGCTGTCACATAGAGGACTGATAATGGGTCAGGGAAGAGCTGTGGTCAGGTTGTGCAAACGGATGCAGTCACTGTGAGCTGAGGTAATACTGACTATAAATTGGTGGAACAGAGCAAGACATCTTTGAAGTTCCTTATGTTGTCTGATATGGCTTAAGACATTCCTATCAAACTTGCAGTTTGGCTGAATAGGTAGCAAAGTAAGGAAAGAGGCAGATATTAAGACATCTGATGCACTGCACATGATGATTACTTAAACATAAAGAATGAGTTTTTCTCCCTTTCAGGGGATTACATACAGCAATTAATGCCCAGTAATTCATTACCATTAAGTACTTGCTGCATGGATGATAAACAAATTTTAACAAACTACTGTGGGAACAAATGAAGCTTTTGGGCTCTCTGCCTTTGTGACTTTTGTCAATCAGGATTTTTCTTTTACTGCTCTGATGACTGACACTAAACTACCAATGAAAATAAAAGCATGTAACATTTTTCAGAACCCTTCAGCGACACCTTTGTGCCCTATGGGAGGCATAAGCCTGCTTGGGATCTGCCTAAGGATTTTGTTCATGTCCAGGATGCCCTCAGTGACAGGTCCCACGGCACCCAGGACGTGAAAGACTTGGGTACGACTCTTCCCAGCGAGCTGCCATTGCCACAGTCAGTCTCTGTAATGTAGAACGGGAGACCCTGGAAAATACTGGAACTATGATCTTACAGTACACATGCAGCCTGACAAGGACAATTCTTTTGAATTAAATTGGTTTTGTCCCCAGTCTTGTGTCCTGGTGTTGGCATGTCAAATATCACACAGAAGCCTGACCTGCACCCTTGCAGAATATACAAGCAGAGATACCAGCTACAGAAAATGGCTCACTGGTTTAGGCAAAAAAGAATGTATACCAGGTATTGAACCAACAGCAGCTCGTTAGCCCATCACAATTTTTACCTGTGTTAGGTTGGTGTTCTCCACAGGGAAATCTCCTATGTCAATTCTGAGACTGTGAATGCCATCAGGGTATCAGGCCTCTCTATAAAGCATCAGAAAGAGTACCCAAGTGGATGACAGCAACAATTGCTATTCTCTAAATGATAGCAATAAGGTATGATAGCTTGGCGCCAAGCTATCAGCCAAAGCAGTTACTGACCCTCTCCTTGGAGCAAGTACCTTTTTTGTCATTACCAGTGTATCCAGTGCCTCCTGCAATGACATTCATTTGGGGAAGGTAGTATGCATGCTCTCCAAGAAATGGAGTTTCTTCTCATTTCTTATCCTGCTTAGAATTGAGTTGGTCTTCCAGTACATGAGTGAAGCAGACAAGAAGGGGTTGAAGGGAAAACAAGTGATGGTGTTCTGAGGGATTCATGTGTGTCAAGACCTGCCCTATGTGTGTCTGTGGATTCCACTGCAGAAAAAGCAGCAATACGCCTCTCACACACTTAATAACCTGTGATTTCTTCCAGAAACCCAAGTCATTGAATAGGTCTATCAACCAGAATAATTTGCTGCAGGACTTGAGCGCTTTAACCCCAAAGATCTTGTTTGGGGCCACACAAAACTTTCTTGCTTTCTTTACTCTTGGAACATACAAAATTAGAAGAGTGACAGAAGAAATTGGAAAGACTGGAGTAAGGCTCACAGTTTTAATGCCTCTTATGGGAATTTAAAGCACATTTGTAATTTTCTCATGGATTGCTGCTCAAAGCAAGTTTTCAGATGCACGTACACCTATAATGGGCTCTGTAGAGACATTTACTCTAACAAATTCTGAACTAATTCTTATGGGAATGGAATCTCCTAATCTACAGAAGAAATTGGAAAGACTGGAGTAAGGCTCACAGTTTTAATGCCTCTTATGGGAATTTAAAGCACATTTGTAATTTTCTCATGGATTGCTGCTCAAAGCAAGTTTTCAGATGCACGTACACCTATAATGGGCTCTGTAGAGACATTTACTCTAACAAATTCTGAACTAATTCTTATGGGAATGGAATCTCCTAATCTTGCTGTTGAGTCATACACAGGCTGGGCTGTGACAAACTCTAGCAACTTGTAAATTCCACAGAGTAATGGTGCACAAACTATGTGTATTGAAATTGCACGTACACCTATAATGGGCTCTGTAGAGACATTTACTCTAACAAATTCTGAACTAATTCTATGGGAATGGAATCTCCTAATCTTGCTGTTGAGTCATACTTACAGGCTGTGACAAACTCTAGCAACTTGTAAATTCCACAGAGTAATGGTGCACAAACTATGTGCAGATTATTGAAATTTATTTAGATAACATTCTCTGGCTTTACCTACAAAAATACCCAAAAGAAGAATACTGGTTTTCTGCCATAAAGAGGAAAGAGTGTTCTTAGTAGAATCAATTATTTAAAACATAATTGCCTGCCATTTAGTTAACAACTGCACCTATTCAGTCTCCTACCATGAAAAACTCTGTTTGCTTTGTATTTCTGTTGGCAGAAAAATAGGAGAAATTTCTCAGCCACTCTAGACTTTGGGGGACTACCACAGACGGTAATCAAGATGATCACAGCTCGGATGGAGAAGGATTACACGGAGAGGCACATTGTAGCTTCAAAGCTGCCTATAGCCCGAGTGAGAAAAGAAACTGTTCTTGATCTTCCTCTCCTGACTTAACAGTTTTGTTTAACATGAGATTGCCTGTTTCTGTTGTGTTAACACGGCATACATAAAACTCTATGAAGCATTCATTATACTCTTATTGACTTACAAACTGCTCCTACACTAAAGATAAGAAAAAACCCATATATTTTTACTACGTCACCCACATCATTAGTAGAAATTCTGCTGAAGGAAATGTCTAGTGGGCTTAAAGGGCTTGATTGATTTCCTATACATTGCAACTTCTGACTGACATTCTGGTACTCTGTGTCAAAAGATCCCTATAAAACGTCGCATTCGTCTTATTAATCCCTGAATAAATCAATACCAAAGCTTTTGATTCTATTTTTAATTTTTGTGATCAAAATTATTCACCTTGCTCTCAGTCCCCAGAGAAAAATACTGACTTATAGGATGGCTAACAAATTAACCAATAGTACAGTGAGACTAGCACTAACCTGGTATTTCATCATAGAGAAGTTTGTGCTAAGTTTTTCTATATAACCACTGTCGAGCAGTTTATGACAGTCACAGACTGACACAACCACCTTTTTGCACAGGGTAGGAAATGTGTACTTACTCTTTGAGAGACTCTTCTAAACGCTGGACTCGTAGAAATGCTTCATCTCTCTCTTCATTGGCTAATCTAAGCCTTGCCATGACAGCCTCGTCACGTTCCCGTTGAGCAGAATAAACTTCTTCCACCAGAGCTGCAAAAGTAACCAGTGTGTTTAACAAACAAGTTTGACAGGGGAAGACACTATTAGATGCACTTACATGGGCCTTTGCCAGCATCTCCTGAAATCAACATTTCTCCACTGACCTCAGATTACTCTGGATAAGGTCTACATTACTCTTCAGACACAACACTAAATTGCTGTTGATTGCTAAAATGAATACTTTAAGGAATGAAATAAAGCTATGTGTTTTCAAATTCACCCCTGTATAATTAAATGGGGCAAGGAAGTGATTTGCTTTGCATTCTGATACTTGCTTAAAGGAAAAGTAATTCTTAAAGCTCAGAATCATATGAGACACTAGTAGGTTTCTTCTGGGACATAGAGTTAAAAGTAATGACCCATTAAAACTACTTCTACCATCACACTGCTTCCTATCAGGGTGGCACACTGATATTAAATATTAAAAATTCTAATATTTTCATAGTCTGTCTCTGGTATCACAAGAGTGGCACAGCTGGCATGTCTCCTTCTCTGCCAAGCCTTTACTTTATTGTGTAATATAGTTATATTATCTGTTATGGCATACATGGACCTTGGAGCATTAGGTGTCAATAAACTAAGATTTACTGTCTATCCTTGGGAGCAAACTAACACCTTCAAGTCATTCCTCATCCCGAGCTTACATTTTCTTCCTGCCTCTCCCCTGTCAATATGTCTAACACCACCTCTGGCACACTGCCAGAATCCTTACCTCGACCCTGCCTCCACTAAAATCTTTATTCATACTTTCATCATTTCCCTCTGCAATACTGCAAATCTCTCCTCACAGTCATCATAAAACCCTGCAGTCGAAATGTCTAGGGACTTTCAGGATGCCATAGTAAGACCGCTGTCACTGCAAGACAGAGGACTATATCCTCTCTGATTGTCACAGGCATCTCCAAAAAACTCAACTGAGGTCTGTAGGTTCCAGAATTCTCCATGCTCCCCTTCTAGTCTGCCAAGCTGGTGTTTAGCCACAGTCTCCTAACACCATACTACAGTTTCTTTCAAATTTTGGCAATTTTTTTCCCAAGAACCTTCCATATTAAGCCATTGCTGCTGGGCTTCCTTACCCTCTTCAGAACCCTGCTCCTCTCTGAACCACTGCTCAAGTCAAGTTAAGATCTCAAAGATCAGGCTTCCTCTTCACTTTAAGCTAGACCTTTTATCCCCTCCAGTCTTGCCTCAATTGACATCAACTTTGTTGCCTTTATAGGTTAGTTGACTCTTATTTCACCTTTGTACATTATTGTACAAAAACTTCACAGTGCGATATAACTTAAAGCACTTTCTGGTTCTTCACAGAATGGAACAATAGGAACATAGTAGTACATTTTGGTAGCAGCTATATCGCTGGCACAAAATACACATTATTGGTACCGAAAAAAACCCTCAAACACCCCAACCAACGGAAATACAAAAAGTGGTAAGTTTCAGTACAGTTCACAAGCAGCTTAGGTAACCAGGGATGTAAGATGAGTGAGAAGATGAACAGAAAAAGAATGCGGAGAGATGAATTAGGAAGATTTTCAAGGCAGGAAAGCAATCCTCTTGTCCTCAAGCTGGGGAGAAGAGCGTAACTGAGGAGTAAGGAATCACTTTTTGCAGGTCTAGCAAAAGGTTGCACAATAACAGCAGACTGGACAAAAGAAGACAGGAAAAGTCTAAATGTCACTTCTGGGAGTGCAGTCCCTCCTCTCACAAAAATCTGCAGAGGAGCTGCAAGTCTAGTCATCAGGCCAGAGATGTAATAGGTTGCATTCCAACAAAATAAAAAGAAAAAGAAGAATTTAATTCTCTTCTATTTGGATATTTGCTTGTTCCACATGAATAGCGTCTTTTTTCTTGAAGATCTATTTGCCCTGTTTGCAACAAGAAAGCTTCGCTTGATGTGGAATGGAAAAACTAAAGCATGAGTAAAGCAGCTGCAAAACTGCATGCACACAGGCTGGTAGTCAGGAATAAGTTTGCAGCACTTGCAGAGGATGAGTCCGATATCTGCAAAGGTAGGTGTCTCACAAAGAACAAATTGTATGGGGTGGGCTGTGCATTTCAGCTCACCAGACTTCCACTTAGGTTGCTGAGATCTATGATGGCAGGGAAACTAGTGCCTCAGCATTGACTGCCTGGGTAAACTACAATACAATTTCTATGTCCTGGTTAGATCTGGAATATACAAGCGGTTTAATTATGTACGGTAATTATTACCTATCTGTATCTTAATATATTTGTTTACTATAGTTTTTCCAGTAACTTATGCCAATTTATCTAGCATCATGCCAGAGAGACTGCACAGAGAACCCTTTCCATAAAGCTGCAAGCGGAAACATTATGCAATTTTCATAATGAAAACAATTGCTGGAATGAATAGAAAGCTGTCTAAAATAACTGAAGATTTGGCACTTGTTACTGTTCTGGGGTTAATTAGTTTCCAGATTAGTTAACTTCTCTGAGTGCATCCCTTCTTCTGTCAGACCCTACAATGTCCCCACCTCAGCATGGAAAACCACAATTTGCTGACTGCTACAATGGATCTTGAGCATACAACTACACTTAGAGGGACTGTGTTTTGGTATCTAATTCCCTCTGAGGAACTACAACCAGTGGTAATAATGACTATACAGACTTTTTAAAACCAGATTATTGCTTATTTGTCCTTAAACCAAAGTAATATATATAAAACAGTATGAAAACATTCAGAAAAAGAGATTTTTTAAGTTACTTAAACATCCTGCTTATCTCAAAGCTTACCATCCCTGATAGCAGCCCAGAGGCTAAATGCCTTGAACAGTGAACCCTTCCCCCACGCAAAGGTCCATTACAAAATACTGTCTTTTAACTATTGGCTATGGAAAAATGACTTAAATTGAGCAACTTTTTCTTGTTATTTTCTTATCCTTCCACTAAGTTAAGGCATGGCAGTAAATATCCCAATGACCAGAACCACCAACTACATTAAAAAAAAAATATAGTAGTTCCATATCAATTACAGGTGTTTGGCTTTTGCTTCTATTTCTTAAAAGTAACATTGCAAGTTAATTTTTTCATATTAAAACAGATTAGGGAGAGTGTAGAAAATCGTGTAAGATGCCTGGATGGTAATCTCACTTAAAAAAAAGGAAAAAAAAAAGAAAAAAAAAAAGATACTTAGCTACATGGCATTTCAATACCATGTAGCAATACTGACACCGACCACAAGAAAGTATTAATTTAAAAAATACTTAAAGTCCTCATCTAACTCATTTTAATGGTCTACAGAAGGCTAGCTCACCCGATTCCTTTACCAGCCAAAGCTTCTGCCGAATTCAGGTTAGGCATTTCTGTTATCCAATGCCTATACATTTCTGACTCTATTTAATATTTTACAAATTCCTTTTTTTAATACTATCTGGAATATTATAACAGTTACACAATTGCAGGTAGTCCGAAGTATGATGTTGTTAACAATGACGTTCATCATTCAGATTGAACTATGGATGAGTCACAAGTAAAAGTTCAGGACCATAAGGATCCCAAGATTCTTCACATAAGCCACTGAAATACATACACCGTTGGGTTGCAATGCAGCAGCGAACCAAAACATTTTGTGTCATATCTAGAAAAGTATGTGAAGTATAAGCTGTCCAATGAAAAGTCTATGAGAGAGAGTGACATAAAAATCCTCCATATTAAAAAGAGTAAAGAATATCCAGATTGTCATCCCTATGCTTCTTAAAAATGCCAGGCGAAAATTAATTGAGAGTAACAAGTCAGGCTCCTAAGTCCCATTCAAGATATGGCATATCCAGCAAAATACTAGCCCCATGCTGGCACGCTGACTTGATGCCTGATCCAATGAAAAAAGTGATCCAGCTACTTAGTCACCAACTGCTCTGGTCGACACCACGAGGTTTTTCTTGGAGACCTTCCAATGGCGCACCAACCAACCCTATCCTGTTTATCTTGAGGCCTGACCAACAAGAAACACAAATTCTTATAGAACTCATGTTTCAAGGAAGAAAATGACACACAAAAATGAAGTATGAATAGTCAAGTATTAAGCTAAAATGAATTGTGTCATTTACTAATTCATATACATATAATGACATTCAAGAGTTAAAATATTTAAATCCCATAGTGCTAAATTAAGAAAAAAGGATTATTTTCCAATGCTTGCAAACATTGTAGTATATGAAAATATGACATTACTACTTAGTTGCATAAACTTTATTTGCTTTGGAATAATTTAATAACATCTTTCTCCTTGTAACTAAAACCCCTGCATATTTTAAAAGAGCTCTTTATTTTAAAAGAATCATTATGCTAAACTCATCAATTCTAAAACATTTTTAGTTTTTAGTAAAGAAAACAATTGTAAACAGAGAGCTTTTGTAAGGTAGATAGCTATTACAAAGTTCACTTAGAAAATAACTATAGCATTTTAGCTGGAATTTGCTCATTAAACACCCACAGCTCTAATGCAAATTATGATGGAATGAATAAAGCAAATACATATGCTTCTTTCTTTTTATTAAATGTAAAATCTACTGTTAATTGCATCTGGTATGTCATATAAACTTTTCTCCTTAACTATTAAATGGAAGCTTTTACAAAAGTCATTAGAGATTCTCTTTCTTTGACTTGTATAAATTTCAATATTTGTTCAGTAAAGGTTCACAGCAGTTAAATTACATTAACAAATATTATTAGCTACTATGTAAGCCAACTAAGTAAAATACTTATATTGCAGGTAAAACAAATCAATGGGTGTTTACAATAATATTTGGATATGTCCATTTTTAAACAAGCTTATCAAATATCATGTAATTCTTAGTCAAATGAGAGAGACTCAAAGTAGGTTTTTTCTTCCCAAATACTCAAATTTGTTTAGTAAGCTAATTGTTTTCTAATATGGGCAAAAGTAAATATGAAGAAGATGAACCATACCGAGTATGAGTTTACTGAGTCAAAGCAGTGTACATATTTTCTTAGTTGAACCTGATTCTTTT